ATAAGCATAACTTCTGCACCTTTTCGAGTGTGTCAATAAGCGACTGCTTATATTGGAACCGAATAGTCGAGCAGTACTCCATAATTGGCCTAATGTGGAGATAGAACAAGCGGAGAAGGAGTGAAGGTTTTGCGCTTAGAAAGACTTCAGGATGAATTTTGATCTGGCACTTGCTCTATCACCAATGTCATGTATGAAGCTCTCGAAATCAAAGTTTTCACTTTTTGCGACGCCCAGATTTCGAATGAGTCTAACTTGTGTCAGCCTGGAGTCACACATTGTGAAGGTAAAGTCAGTGTGGTTTTTACCTACCCCCAATACAGCAGTTTTCTGGAGATTTTTACTCTCATTTCTTAGGCCAGCAGTCAACACAGTCTGTAGCGACCTGGAGTTCATTGCTGTGTTCATTAGTGAATACTTTTGATCACCAGCAAATAAACTGCAAAATGCCTCTGAGAAAATGGAGTCAACTAGGTCATTTACGTATATAATAAACATCAAAGGTTCAATACAGTTGTCTGTGGTACACCACTAGGAGTGGCTGCTTTCATAGTCCGCCGGCGTGCCGGCGTGCCAGCCGAGGCAGTGCCAGGGGAGAAGAGGGAGGCAGACTGTCGGTCGATGCGGTCGCGTCGCGCCCAACCCCCTTTGAAGGGCTGAAAACAAAGGAAAACAATACCAAAAATCATTTGCACAAGCCCCTGATTGTTTGGTTTCTGGTCTTGTTTTTCTTTGTTTTCAGCCCTTCGAAGGGGCTTGGGCGCGACTCGACCGCGTTGACCGACCGTCTGCCTCCCTCCTCCCCCCTAGCACTACCTCGGCTGGCACGCCGGTACGCCGGCACACCGGCAGACTATGAAAGCAGCCAGTCCGCCGGCCGGCCCACGAGCGAGCGAGCGAGCGCGCTGGCCGGAGACGGCGCTAACCATTTGACCTTCACTTTCCAAACAAATGAGCGAGCGATGAGCGTGGCTGATTTGTGAATTGTCCCAAGCATTGTTATAGTTATAGTTTATGGTACAAGTTCCTGAGGTAAGTGGTATGAAGTTCAATAACTTTTTCTCTATAGGAAAATCGCTATTTCTTACATAATATACGTTCCATTATTTTGCTAATAAAGCTATTCAAGCGAATGACCTGCATTTGGCAACATCGTTATCACAACCCTTTTTGAAAACCGGTTTGAGAAATCTAGTTTTTCATAACCTACATGGTGCGTCAAAACTTCTGGCAAAGCCCGTTTCAGGCTTCCTATAAAAAAAAAACGAGGCCTTCGATCTCGACAGGATCAGTGCCACTATTTACTGCAAGTCGTCTTCTATACATTCCATGAATGGGCCGTTCTTGAATATGCCATTCTGCAGAATGGTGACAAGCAAAGACCAACGAGCTTCCATCCTGCACCTCCATCTGGCTGGATGCATGGCAAGGACCATCTTCAAACAGCTCCAGATTCCCTTAAGAACCGTGTACAACAACGTCAACAGGTACAAGACGACAGGAAATAGGGAGGACAAGCCCAAAAGTTGAATTCTGAGGAGTGCAACGACAAAGGAGATCGTGAAAGTCATTTGAGAGAAAATCCGCACCCTCGTAGGTCCAAGAAAAAATGGCTTTTGAGGTGGGTATTTCTTCTCGATCTGTTGAAGGATTGGCTCCAGCCACCTCCGACTTCGCTCTTATAAAATTAGAAAAGTTCACATGCTGACTGAGCATATGAAGAAAACTAGGCTAGAAAGATGTAAGGAGCTTTTAGAGCGATTTTCGCAAGCACGGCACAGCAACATCCTTTCCGCTGACGAATGTCTGTTTTCAACAGATCTATTTCTGAACACCCAAAACGATGGGGTTATAGCGGGAGACCATACAAAAGCCAGCCAGCATGGAGGGGTCGCTCAGTGATCTGCACACCACAAGTCGTTGATGGTTTTTGGGGCAATCACATCGGACGGCAAGATGCCCCTGATTCTCTCGGAGAAAGGGTTCAAGGTGGATAGCAAGACCTACTTAAAAGTCGCGTTGAGGAAGGAGGTACTCTCCTGAGCAAAATCCCATTTCGGCAGCCGAACATGGACTTATCAACAGGACTCAGCCCCAGCACACAGGTCCAAAGTGATACAGGACTGGTGCGCAACGCACTTCCCAGACTTCATCTCGTCGGACGATTGGCCCCCAAACAGTTCAGGCTCAAATCTATTGGACTATTCCGTGTGGCCAGTTCTTAAGACGAAAGCCTGCTCTACTGAGCATAGAAGTTTGGATGGTCTACGTGCAACCCCCGTTGAAGCATGGGAGGATCTGGACGAAGGCTACCTCCGTGCCACCGTCGACGCACTTCCTAGAAAAATTTCAGCCTGTATTCACCCAAAAGGAGGCTATTTCGAGATCTAGGTTGTTTTTGTGATCTATTATATGGCTGTTGGTAAATGCTGTTGGAGTAGTATCATGTATCGATCGTTTTGTCCGTTTTTACGATCATATTTACCATTGCCAGAACTTTTGCCGCGCCCTGTAGGTACATCGCCATGGAGGTAGTGATGTCCGTTCCTCCAAGGGTTGCCACTGGGAACTGCTCACTCTGCGGGCTGAACTAATCGCGGACATTCGAGTGCAGGCGACAGGCACCCGTGACAGGCAGGCCTACGAACACCCCCCCCCCTCCTGTCACATCAAAAATGTTAATGTCACTTAAAGTATCTCGATGTAATGCTACGGCGTCCGCGCTCGCAAGGTCTGGTGAGTGTGAAAAATATGCGAGGGTCTACGGTGCAAGGACGTCATCGGGGGGCTACTAGGCTAGTCCAAAAGTCCCGCAATTTAAGAAACTCGCGTTGCGACGTTAAATGTTGGCACGATGAGGAGACGCTCGGAGCGGAGAGAGGTAAAGGAAGCCTCAGGACGTTGGCAAATCAATTTTTGTGCCGTGCAGGAAACGAGGTGGTCTTGCCACAAGTCGAGGGATATTGACTACGGCTTCGAAGCCATTCCCTTTGGTGGTCCTAAGGCCAACAGCGCGTCGGAATGATTGTCTTCGAACGCTCCCCTGATCCGATAGTAAGAGTGGAACGCTCTGATGCTCGCTTAACGAATACTATTGTCGTAATCGGAAGCCAAAAAACTATTTCTTCTCCGTGTATGCTCCACAGACTGGATACCCTGCGCAGACCAAGGACAAGTTCTGGAATGTGCTAGACGAAAAGACAGCTGAAGTATCGTCACAAGAAGCAGTTGTTGTCGCAGGTGACCTCAATGGTCATGTAGGTACTCCGAAGGACGGTTATAGCTGTCGTGGTGGTTTTGGCTATGGGTCACGTAATACTGATGGCGAGCAAATTCTTTAATATGCAGACCCGCATAATCTTGCCATTGTAAACACGAAATTCCGTAAACATGACTCTCATCTCATCACCTTCTATAGCGGTGAAAACAGAACACAAATTGATCTCGTCCTCGTCAGGCACCGCGATCAGGGCTCATAACAGACGCGAAGTTCGGCATGACCAAGCCTTGACGACAAAAGATTGACAAGCAAACATGGCTGGGGACGAATCATGTCAGGGATGAGGTACGTTAGAAGAAATACCACGCATTCCTGTCAGAAAAGGCAGCTGCTAACTGGCAGCGCCATCCGATCGTGACGAAGGAGGCAAAGAAGGTCTTTGCTTCTGAGAAGGCAGCTCGTTTTGCTGTGCTGAACGAGAAGCTCAAGTCTCGCGACGGTGAGCGGTATGTTTACCAACTCGCAAAGATCCGCCATCGCCAGACTGGGGACATTGGACAAACTTTTTTGGCATAAATAGCGAGAACGGCCACCTCCTGACGGACCGCAAGCAAACACTGAAACGATGGCGAGTGGACTTCGAAAACATCTCGACAGTCAAATTTGCTCATCCCGCCATCCCTTGCGCTCCTCCAGTATACGGCCCTGTCCAGAAGATAACTGTGAGGAAGACAATTAGGACTATGGGGGAGGATGAAATCAGGCAAGCAACTGGTCCTGGCGATTTAGCAGCGGACTTGTGGAAATCGAAAGTCTGGAATCCTGCAGCATGGTTGACGGAATTCCCCAACCAGGTCGTTGCAAGAAGAAGGTGCCTGAGAGCTGGCAACAGAGCACGACGATTCCTATCTGTAGAAAGAAGGGCAGTCCGGGAGACTGCGCTTGCTACCGTCCAGTTCGCCTGCTCTCGCACAGCATGAAAATCTTTGAGCGAATTGTGGACAGTCGTATCCGCGACATCGTCGAGCTGGCCAACAATCAGTGTGGTTTTGTGTCTGGTTGCAGCACCATTGATGCGATACACGCCACACGCATTCTACTAGAAAAGCATCGCAAAAAACAAAGACCGGTACTTGTATCTTGTCTTTCTAGGATTGGAGAAGGTTTTCGATCGTGTTCCGCGTGACGTTATATGGTATGCCTTACAACAGCATGGCGTTTCTGAAGAGCTCATTGAGTGGGAGTGCATCCTTTGCACTAGCCCAAAGGGCCGAATGCAAACGGCCGCGACCATATTTTCCCATCTCCGTCAGAGTAAACAAAGGCTCTGCGTTATCCCCACTACTTTTTGCTGTCGTCATGGATGCCGTTAGAAAAGACCTCCAGAAGCCGGTTCCGTGGACGCTTCTTTATGCTGATGACGTGGTGCTCGCCAAAGAAGAAAAAAGAGCGCTCAAGTCACAGGTGCAGACCTGATCTGGCTACGTTCGGGCTCAGGTTAAACGTCAAAAAGACTGAGTACTTGACCACTAATTCGAGCAAGCCAGGCTCTATTAAGTTCAATGGCACCGAGCTAACACGGACAACAACCTTCAAGTACCTTGGATCGGCAATTGCGTCTGACGGCAGCCTGGGTTTTGAAACGAATTCTCGCGTGAATGCAGAGTGGCGCCCAATGACTGGCGTACTCGGCGATAAGAACATCCCTGAGCGTCTCAAATCAAAAATCTAGAGAACCGTCATCCGGGCCGTCGCGATTTACAGCGTTGAGAGCTGGCCTATGACCAAGGAAGTAGAAGCTCGTCTCAGTGTGATGGAGACCAATATGCTGCGCTGGACAGCCGAAGTAACACGACTAGACCGCATAAGCAATGACGTCATCAAGGAGCGAGTCGGTGTTGCGCCCATTGTCGTTAAAATGCGCGAAGCCCGTTTCCGTTGGTATGGTCATGTTTTCCGCGCGGATGAAGACAATGTTCGTAAGATCGGTCTCAACCTTGATGTGTCCGGAAAACGGCCTAGAGGACGCTCAAAGCAGCGATGGCTCGATACATTGCCCGAAGACCTCAAAACGGTTAACATTCACCCCGATCGAGCGTTCAATCGAAAGAAGTGGCTTCAACATGTCAGAAAAGCGGGCCCGTCTAAATGCGTGACAGGCGCTAAAGAATAAGAAGAAGAAGAAGAGGTACATAGTCATGGGGCAAGGTTGTGTTGAGCGATACTATTAGTAGAACAGCAAACCAGCAGCATTTTTTTAACATATGGGATGTGGTTGGGAGAAGTGGATAGCTGTTAGGCACACGTCGCAGTACGCTGTAAACAGCATCACTGGACACGTCAACCCAGTCCAGAGTGTCTTAAGGCAAGGAATGAAGGTAGCGTTCGATACTCGGTGCTTCATGGACTGACTGAAAACGGCAAAGAGATTCGCTTTGGAATAATCGTTTACGATTAAAACTCTCTTCCATGGAGCCGCCCGACGGTCTGCCACCTGAACGTGGTGGTAGGGTGGCGTTTGGCTTGTAGGTATGTCCGATTTTCAGAAGTTCTTATCACAAGCTTCAATGCAGAATGCAATCGCGTTCGAAGCTGTGGCCAGGTAGACGTGCGAAGAACTGGACTGATGGCGGCCCCCTTGCTTGAATTCCCCTTGTCCGTCCGCCCAAGGTCGCGGTTGAATTCGTTCTTCACGCGTTATGTTGCGCACAGCAAGCCCCGGTACGTTACGTCTAGGTCATTGCGTTCTGGATTAAGGACCAGGACTCGCTCGGGGAAATATCCGCCTACCAAAGGGGAGGCGTCCTGTCGCCCTGCCACATGCTCTGGTCACTACCATCAGATGTCGACTTGTATGATCCAAAAATTTCGCCGCTTAAATTCCCTACTGGTCGACGGAGTTTTGCGTTGGAGCTTTCATAATTTTTTAGTTACCATTTATAAATATCTATATATAACTAATAGTTCAACGACACGTCTGCATGTCTAAACGGCTAAGAGTAAGCCTCAGCTCTCTCTGATCCAGAATGGCTATAGCCACGATGGTGAAGACTCAGCACTGGCCTGGCAAGGCAGTGTTGAGACTCGAAGGAGCAAGCTTTCTAAAACAGCAATAAAGCAGCCTCAGTACCCCGCACACTGAACCCAGCCATCTCCGGCGTCGGACGGCACTGAGACCGGTGAGAGGCGAAGAAATCTCGGGTTGCGCAGGACGCCTTGGATTTCGGACCATGACAGTACTCCCTCTACGGAGACTGTTTCCTACTTTATACCTACAGCGCAAGATCAATTTATAAATATCATGTGATTGCGCTGCAAGAAACCATGAGCCGGAGGACCGACGTACGACGATTGAACGATGGGAACCTCATCATTCGTGGTGAAAAGCGGCGTTGGTTTCGTCGTGCACCCATCTGTCTCCTTCCCGCCGATTCTCACAAAGTCCTGTCTCCTCGCTTTGCCATACTACGCCTACAACATACAACAGTTATATATAAATATTTATATAAATGGTAATTAAAAAATTGCAACATACGCACCTAAAGGCCATCTTTATCGTCAACTGCTACTCTCCGCACTCTACAGCTGACGAAGTAGAGCTCGATGCGTTATACGACCAACTGGAGGGAATCATACACAACGAAACGTCCTTCTACAAATTCGTTGCTGGAGATTTCGACGCAAGGCTGGGCGAGGCACAAGAGAAGGAGCTTAGGATTGGAAAGTTCGGAATGGGGGACAGGAAACGGAAACCGTCTATCTAGACTCCTATCCGCGCCTCGACTCTTATCTGGAAACCCTTTCTTCCAGAAGAAGGAACATCGCCGCTGGACATGGGAGTCTCCAAATGGTAGAACTCATGCTGAACTGGACAACATATTAACAAACAGAAAGTTGTGCTTAAAAGATGTTGTTGTTTACCATCTTGCTGCAGTGGTTCTGATCATCGACTCCTTCGCGCTAAGATCAGATTCAGTCACAAGCTGCTGGAAAAGATCTCTCAACATCGCGCGAAGAGCTCGAAGCATGTTGTATACGACGGAGATGTTCTGAATGACGTCCTGTCCCGATATGACTGGCAGGTCCTGGATGACCCGACCGAAGACTACGACGCGCTGGTTCGGGGTCTCCTCACTTGTGCTGAACAGGCTAAGCTTCCGCAAGTGGATACCTCCGCTCGCATTTCAGATGCGACGAAGGATCTTCTCAGAACAAGAAGAAGCTTGAGGCTTGACCAGAACGTCACACATCTCGAAAGGCTGCAAGTGAGTATCAGCTGCGGGCAGGCAGTGCGACGAGACCTTCAGCTATACAGGGGGGGGGGAGCGACTACTGGAGGCAGCCTTGAACAGAACTAGTCTGAGAAAATGCCATCGGGATCTTCAGGACCACAGTACTCCACTTTCGTGCTTGAAGAAGGAGGACGGAACACTCACAACATCGAGATTTGAGATGGAGGAAGTTACACGGAGGTTTCACACCAACACGTACCGATCCATGCGCGCAAGAACCAAAAATCCCCACTAGCGGAACAGTTCCTCGGATTCTTCCTTCGGAGGTGAGACTTGCGATTACGAGCATGAAAACGGGCACAACTCCAGGTCCTGACAAGATCTCAGCCGATCTTCGTTGCTGCCGTAGTTCGCTTTCCCGCCCCTCGATCGGTGGCACGTCGAGACAATACAGATTGCTAATATTCGTTCTAGGACCCACACACAATCAGCTAATCGCCGAGTGATGAGGCGATGTTTTTCTCCCATTCTTTTTTCTCCTGTTTTTCTTTTTGCGGCCGCGATCCCTTAATTAATTTCCTACTTNGAAGAGGTGAGCTACTTTTGCTGTTACTAGGGTTTTTTGTTTATTCATGCTTATGAGTGAATGAGTTTTTGCTTACCATTGTCTGTTATTCGCACCAGGAGCCACACGCGCGCAGTGAAACACACTGTTTAGCTCGTCCAGACGCCCCACTCTTCTTCACTTTTCTGGTTTCATTCTCGTCCAGCCCCCTTTTTAACGGTATTTCGAAGCCTTTTTTCACTTTGGAAACACCGACTATTTTCGATCTTGTCGTCCATTTTTCATCATAATCTGGATTACCCGAAATTATCGTGAACTGTGCCTTTAATAAAGCAGGAAAGAAGGTAGGGCTGCGAATCAACCAAACAAAAACACAGTTTATGACTGGGACCAACGAAGGTCAATTTGGGATCAATGGTACACCTATCAAGGAAACCTATTCCTACGTGTATCTCGGGCGCTCCATGAGTATGAACAACGACATGAGGGAGGAACTGGTGAGACGGAAGAAAGCTGCATGGGCCGCCTTCGGACCTCTGAAAGAGGTTGCTGACCGTCTCGCCGACCCGAAACTTCGCGCTAGTCCTTTCGATTAAACCGTTCTTCTTGCCATCTGTTTCGGGTCGGAGACTTGGGTGACCAGTGCGTCCACGTCAAGGGATTTGAGCACAAGTAACAGAGCGCTCGAGCGATGTCTTTTGAGGTTCAATCGGCTCGCTCAATATCGAGCCGGACTCTGCAGCTCCGATATGCGCAGAATGTCTCGACTCCGCGATCCGGTGGAATACATGAAAAACGAAAATTTTGGTGGACCGATCATATAATGAGAAGAGGTGAAGACAGATGGACAAGGAGGACAGTGGAGTGGGCTCCCGTGGAATCTTTGCGATTTGAGGGTAGGCCTGCTGCGAGATGGGGCGATGTGCTTGTCGATCACGTGAAACAGCTGCGACAGCAACTGAACGACTCCTCACATCGTCATCTTCGTCGATTTCTGAGTCTACAGTGGATGGCGATCGCGAAAGACAGGAATGGTTTGTTGCTGATGCTCGCACATGAGTGAAGACGAGCCGTGTAAGTGTAAGTATGAGTACTCTCTTCCGTGAGATCATGTTCGGGATAATATCGAATAATTTCAGTTCTTTCCTGCAGTGGTTGGAGAAAAGCTTAGTATTTTTCAGTTGTGCTGATTTGTTTCCTGCATAACCTGGTGACGAAGAATTGCACGCTCAAGCTTACGAGCAACACTTATGGATCTCGAGTTTCGCGCTAATAAAGTTGAATTGAGGTGCTGAATTTCAGTCATCAGGCAATATGCATGCTTAGAATACTTCACAGTCTCCTCAAAGGCACACTTCATAATTCAGATTTTTTTCTTTTTTTCATGATTTTGCATAATTTCGGGTTATTCAGATAATGACGAAAGATGGAAAAGAAAGTGGTTATCAGTGTGATGGAAGCGAAGATGGCACGAGAATCGGTAATTTTAAAGAGATAAAAGGTTCCGAAAAATCGTTAAAAAACGGGGCTGGGCGAGAATAGGACCCGAAAAATTCCAGATGAGATGTTGGGACGAGCTATACAATGTGTGTCATTGCGTACAGCATTCAAAATCATTTGCACAAAGTAACAAAAACACTATTAACAGCTGAAATAACTCACCTTTCTCAGCATTGTAAGGTAGAAAACTTGAAAATGACCGCAGTATGACACTTCTGTAGGATTGCGGTGGTTTACAGAGCCCAGACTTGTTCTCGTACTTTACCTCGGTAGCTTTTCAAAGCCATAACTGACATCTCTACTTGTCAACATCCATTCTTAGGCATAGGCGACTTTAACCTCCCTGAGGTTATCTGGCGTTGTGATGTGAATTTCAATTCTGGTGGCCTTGCTGGCATTCCGCAGTTATATCAAAACAACAGTTTGCAGCAATTGGTTACTGAACCAACTATTTGTAACCACGTTTTGGACCTTTTGCTTTGTAACAGGTCGGACTTAGTACATGACCTGATAACAGGTCCACCGTTGGGATCTAGTGACCATTTCGAGATCCCTTTTTCCTGAGGCTTGCTAAGCATTCTATCTTGCCGACTTTCCGTAAGAAATTCACGAAAGCGGACTACTGCCTAATCAATACCTATCTTGCTGATGTAGGCCGGTTTGGATCGTTTCATTGCTGCAGCAATGGTAACGAAATGTATGAACTCTTTATTTTTGCCCTTAAACATACCATTGAGTTATTTGTTCCCATTTGCGAGGTTCTCGAGAATCAGCCGTCATTCCCTGAATACCTTGCGAGGTTCTCGAAGAAATGCTCCCATGCTTGGGAGAGTGCAATCGTATCCAAGGATCATGATGGCATGAACTATTATATAC